CMAAAAWWAWKRAAAACMGTTGGATGTGCATTTTCCATTTTTTCAATTTTCATTTCTCATTTCGTTAGCAGCCATTTTGTTTCTTTTTGTATAATAACCTTATAATTTTGTCTTAGCCTTTCTGGAACCAGTTTGGTTAAAAAGTGTAAAATCCCTTCCTTTTTAAATTGATCAGCGCAATTGCTACCTGCCTCGCTGCCCGGAAGATACACTCGTACTTAGCAAACTCGGGCGCGTTAAAGTGTTCTTGCTAATTRAAGCCTTTATAGAATTCGATATTACTTCCGCTGAAGTGTAGGAGGAAAAATTGATTGACTTTGTTGGTTTTTCGTCTAGGAATCAATCAATTTTTTTKGCGAAATTGAGGGGTGATTTTCACAAATTAGAATATTTCATTCGTTAGTTGTGTCGTTGTTCGCTCCTTTGTTTGTATTTTTTTTCGTCTTTTTTTCATTTTTTTTTTCGTCTTTCCATTTGTTTGTGTTTATTTGTTCATGTATTTGCTCACTTGTTTTAAGTCCATCTATCCATCCAAAACGTGTCTTTGAAAAAAAAGAAAAAAAAATGTGGTCGAAAAATGAAATCAAACAAAAAAGAAATAAAATATAAGCAAAATAATACGATTGTGTAAATTTTTGCAAATTTGACTTATTTAGTTTTCGCAAGAAAAATGAAAGCATTGCAAAATTTCTTAAACGAATAATTTTTCATGAAAGAAAGAAAAAAAAATCGATAAATTCCAACAAATTGACTGACAATCAATTTTACATAGAAACACTATTACATCTGACTATCTATATAAATTAAAAACAATAACAAACAAACAAAYMAAAMMWWAAAMRWAMWAAAMTAACAMAAMAAAAATYAAYAATMAATRATAATRCAATACAACTCAAAYAAATGCAAATAAATTYCAGAAAATATAACTTGCTTTTTATTATATCTTAATGCATCAAACACGATTCGCTACTTATAGCGCTCTTTGTTGTGTCTACTATTTCACGTTTCTCAAATCCTATTCCAAAATCAAATTAATCCTTAAGATGATATTCTTRATATTTCCTGGCTTGAAATCTAGTTTAACGATACATTGCTGCTATGATTAGTATACCCGTCAAAAACACAATTTGTTTTCAAAMGTGTCAAATTTATAATTAACCATTKAAAATGTGTACGCTTTTCTGTAGATTGTACCAAAATTGCGATAATATTTCTGCCTTTTGTCGTGTATGCCTTTTGCTCTWCCTTTGTTTAAAGCGTTTATTTTAYCTTTTTGATTATYGCGTTMAAAGAGAAWAAAATCTTGTYCTTCCGTTTTAAGAAATTATTGCATTAAAAACACTATTTTTTTATATACTTATTTTTCAGTTGATTGTTTTCATCGGCTATCTTCTTCTTGTCACAATATAATTGATAATTATTTTATCAAACAGACAACTTTTTCCCTGATTTGTACAATTGKAAATGTCGAGTAGTCAGACTGTTCCAACTTCAGTTAATTGTGATTATTCAAGAGTTTATTCTAGAAATAAGTTGACTTAGTACATTGATGTTTTTATGCTTTAAAAATCCATAAACACAAAAGTAGAATAGGTTGTTCATAATATTTCACTTGTAACATCTGAAATATTGATGTCCGGTAAACATGAGCTTTTCCTGAGGTTACATATGACATAAACAAACTTCATGTGATTTGACTCTTCTTTTGAAAGAAGGTTTTTGCKCAGTGAAAARTCGCTCGTAATGTCAGAAGGTTTGGCGTTGGTTACACGATTGGTAAACATTACTCCTTTCGTAGAAATTAGTGGCTTTGAAAAGTCGGATGAAGATTAGGGAAGCTTTTTTTTTTTTTGCCTCGATATCTAAAGAAGAAGAGTTTTTATTGATGAGCAAAMAATATTGTAGGTCATACTAACGACAAAACCTGAGATTTCGCCAGGAAGTTTGCGCAAAATATTTCAAAGCTGTTAACTTTCAAGAAACAAAAATCAACTGCATTGACAATGTTGTGTTGGTAAWAATACCTTGAATTGGAGCTCCAGAAATCGTCGACTGGAACCTCTTCCTGGGCTCTAACAAACAATGAAACGACATTGCTGATTTGAAAGCCATTGAGAAACTTGACACTCTAGTAGTTGGAAGCTGTCAAGTTCATAGCACCTGTGTTCTTTGTGTTGAACAATTATCCTTTCCAAGAAATAAACCACTSTATATTGATAATTATATTCGATGCTCCATGCGATTGATACTTGGTTTTAACAGTGTATTCCACGAAGGGGAAAAACTGGCAAATTKAGAGTTAAATAAAAAGCGTAAAAGTGAACCTCCCCTCCCCCTACTGGGTTGTTAATCGTCCTACACGGCGATTGGATGGTAAATTGCGAGAAATTGATGAAAAAGCAGTTGGCTATCTCAAGAGGGACTACTTGGTATTAAACTCGTGGCTACAATGAAGCTCTGGATTATATACCATCTAATACTGCTTATTGTTGTTAATGCTCAAAAGAGGCTCTACAAACCTGGGAATATCACAATTGGAGTGCTACTACCACTTCACTTGCACGCTTCTATAGATACTTGTGGGGAATTCTACTCTTTTGGACTCGGTTACATCGAAGCAATCTCGTATGCCATCTCTCAGATAAACAACGACTCTAAGCTGCTGAATGGAGTGACGTTAGGCGTTGATGTTTGGGATTACTGCGACTCGCCTGTCTTGGCCGTCTCGGGAGCACACAGCATTGGAACAAACAACTTTCTAAATGATCTTCTGAGCGCGCAGCAGAGCAAGTCAAGCGCTTTTTCGCTGGAGACACAAGTGAGTTTAATAGCGAATATCACATCTCCAATAGCGGCAGTCATTGGAACTGAAGACTCTAGCAGCACAAGCTTGGTATCTAGTCTTCTTCAGGTACGAYTTTGTCAATATAAAATGTAGTCGTTGAGAGAATTTTAGTTTCATTTATTGATATAARCGTATAGGACTAMACCGGATAAATTTGTCAAACCGCAACTCTCAATTTTCCGCTCAAAACGACAATGTGARGAGCTATTGTGGAGAATGCTTTCGAAAATTGATATTTTGGGTGGAAAGAGATTAGCAAACGGAAATCTTTTTCCCATGACTGGAGAATTTGTACGCGACTAGTTTGCCCGTGCGTAACTGTCRTTGGTAATGTGGAGTTTCTGTTAATAGATAAAAAATGTTTCATTAGTGCATATAAGTATACATCGTTTTGTGTAAAAAATTAATACTTACTACTGATTCGAATGCGTTCCTCTGCCAAAGTAAAAAATTACGACCRAGAAGGTTTAGTCGATTAGCTAAACTAGTGAAAGTGCTTTGAATGTAGTCTGTATTTCTCTGCCTTTTTTTTATGAATGTTAAGATACGTATGACTTAAATAATAGTTAACCTTTGGAACTTTATTGTTAAATGCTGTTGTTTTGATGTTTTATCATGTCATTTTTGACTTATTCATGGGTTTTTATTGTCCCCTTTTGCTTTAATTTCTTGTTATCTTCAGAATATAATATTGCACGCATTGTACTTTTAAATTAAATTTGGCAGAGKTTTAGATTACTTGGAGTCCGTCTCAAACAGCAAATCTCACGTGTACCGACTTCAATGAAAATGACAAGCAGAAATACAAAATTTGCTTTGACTTCTGAGCTCGTAAAATTCGATGTTTATTATTTTGTATCGTTATTTTTCAACTAAAGAATCCTCTCCATCCGAAATCACAATAAAACAATTTCTGGTTTCATCAGTTGTCATATTATATGAAATAGGACTTTGAAATTTAGCGTAACTTTTGTGAGATCTTTCGCTGTTTCAAATTTCACATAAAAATGTTATTGCCTTGGGGAAATTATCCAGGCATTTTTTAAACYAATTTCTACCCAGTATTTTATTTAATACAGCCTTGTGCTTTTCTTTTTATTTCTAGTTTTATTTATTCGAAGGTGACGAAGTTTTCGCGCCACTAATTTAGCAAATTGCATAATATATAGTTTAAGGAAGTAACTCCTTTCTTAATCAAAATAAATCCTTCATCACTGTCGTTTATATTCTCTATGTTATTAAGTTTACTTATTTATTATTGTTTTGYTTTGTTATAAGAATGTTCCAGAAAACTAACTGAAAATAGATTAATGTTCTATTGTTTGCGTTTGAATGCAGATGTTTTTCTGTTTTCTGTTATTACATTATAAGCCGTTGTGCTCGTATGATTATTTTTCTAGTGTCAAAGCGTTTAGCAGTAATTTTCAATGTATATTCTTTAGAAGTTTAAGATTTTAAGTGTCAGAACTTTGGGAAGATTTTCGCAAGTTTGCGATCAGSTTTCGACCTTTTTTCACTAAAAGAGGCTGATTTTCTAAAGCGCCGAACTTTTTTAAAACGACTTTATATTTGATATATTCCGACAATGTTATTGTTAATTTGMTTGTTTTAAGAATTGTCGCACTTAAGTGGCATAAAATGGTCATTTWAAAAAAACATAATTGGCGTGAAAATGCTTTGTGTTTTTCTAATTATTCCGTCTAGAATTCATTTATTTTTACCGTACTCCTTCAAGTTTGTTAYGGATTCTTTTTGTCATTAATTATTTTCTTAATTTTGCTTACTTTTTGGTTTACTGTGTTGTTGAGTTTGTTTGTGAACTTACATTTGAAAAGTAAATATAAACACGAGACATATTTTCAGATTTTTATGTAATTTCTTGATCTCTGTAAATTGTATAATATAGTTCTGAAAAACACGGCCGCATGTACAAATAAAATACTCATTTCTGGAGTTCAGACTGACTGYGTTTGTATTTGACGGGTGCTTTCTGCAAAGTAAGCTTAATTGTGTTCTAAATTAAGTTTTTTTTAATTGATTCTTGTCCATCAGATTCAATGCGGTCACGTTYTAGATTTTTTCTGATATCATATTGAAAATGATAWGACTTCAAATATCCATTCGCGGTCGGTTTCCATCCGTCGGKTGGATGTCGAAGAGTATATATTATACATGCAGTCAWAATTTCCTTAAATGTGTCATAGCAACRGCAATTACATTATAAATGCAGGTCTTGCATAGATATAGASGATRTTACATGGGCGCGCGGAGATACGGATTTTATCTTCGAGTGTTGAAAAGATCTCTCACGAGTGAGCGTAGCGAGAAGATAAAATTTCTCCAAGCGACCATGTAATATTCTGTTTATCATATAATTAATATGAAAGCAAATTATGTCGTAAAATATTTTAAAAATAGTGAAAACATSWACTTTATGCAATGGAGAAATATAAKTATTTCATAGATATTTACATAATAAATAGATTTATTAAAACTTTTCTTTAGGAACGCTATTCACTTTGTAATTTTAGTGTATTCTTATTTACAAGATAGACAACTCATTTTAATAACTTTCATATAGAATAGTCGCATGTAACCACTTGCTTTTGTAGTTACCTAGTTTTTAATTTTTTCCCATTATTTTTTTCTCATTTTATTATTACTTTCTTCACTTGATTCTTTACTTCATAGCTTTTTATATTTTTTGCGTTTTTTGTGTCAAACGTCAAATCTCATGTACTAAAGCCAATGCAAATGAGGCTGCACAGATGWAAGAGATACTCTAGTATTTTCCCTTAAACTTAATAACATTCGGATCGTCTGCTGTCTATAATGACAAACAAATCTCCGGTAGCYTGACAACATGAACTGAAAAACGTCAAATCGATTTGCAAATGATCAATTTTATCTCGCAGTTTATTAAACTTCTGACCATAACGGTCTTTCAGAGATATATTTTGAGCCATTGTTACAGAAGCCTTGATGTAGTTCTGTTGGGCGGAAACTACACAATACATCTGCAACGGAGGCTAAGTGAATTTGGGAAGTACTSTAAAGGCCGACTTAGACGGTACAACTTTTGTCTACAACCATCGCATGCAACCTGCGTAAGTCATCCTTACAACATGGCTACAACTGTCGTAGTAGAGATTAAAAACAATTGTTTGATAACCCTACGACAGTTGTAACCATTTTGTAAGGATGACTTACGCATGTTGCATGCGACAGTTGTAGGCAAAATTTGCACCGTCTAAATTGGCCTTAAAACCGGTAGCTGTTGGGCGRCAAMACRTAATACGTCTGCAATGGAGGYTAAATGTATTTGGGAAGTGAATAYCGCGGTAGCTGTTGGTCGCAAATTACACAATACGTTTGCAGGTAAATGTATTTGGGAAGTAAAACCGGTAGCTGTTGGGCGACAACTACACAATGCGTCTGCAACGAAGGCTAAATGTATTTGGGAAGCAAAGAAACTAAATGCGATTAAACGAGTAGGAAGTCATTTTAATGTACAGCCTCATTGCTGGAGATTGCAACATCACATTAACTTAAAGTAAAGATGTTTTTGTTGAAATTAAAATTCCTGGGTTGAATGATGTAAAGAGGAATTTCTGGAATATTCYAAACGAGTGGGAAGTCATTTAACTACATTATATTGATGTTGTATGTCGTCGCTGGATATCGCTATTCGAATATCTGTGATCTACTCTTGAATGGCTTCCTGATCTTTCAATTTCACTTTAGTGCAATATCTTAGTAAAACATTTATGGAAAGCATCCGAGTGCCTATCTATAATTGGGAGATCAGGAAGCCATTCAACAGCATTCTAAAGTTTAATGTGTATCATTGCTGGAGATCGCTGTATAGTGCGTCAATTGCACAGTGAAGCTTTTGATGTTAAAAACGATGGAAGCCATTCAAGTGTCGGCTTTTTCAATATATAAGAGATCTCTAGAATGTCCTTGAACGATTAGGAAGCCATTCAACAGCTTTGTTTTGTTGTTTGGTTTTTGATGCCATTGCTAAAGATCACAGGTGTACATTATCTTTGAAAACTTGTTTGTTTGAAGTATTGGAAGAATTTCTGTGTCTTTTTGTGCTTGAAGCCATTCAAGTGCTCTCACAGTAATTGATCACATAGACGTAAATAGATTGAAAAAGCATTCGACAATCTTACGTGACTACGAAAATGACTTGCTAATTTTGTAAGGACTTTAGATGTCGAAATTAATAATTTGGGGCCGAAAGCATTCAAGTGTTTTTTTTCAATCTGTGTGTCTTTTTTGTGCTTGAAGCCATTCAAGTGCTCTCACAGTAATTGATAACATAAATAGATTGAAAAACCATTCAATCTTACGTGACTACGACAATGACTTGCTTATTTTGTAAGAACGTTTAGATGTCGAAATTAATAATTTTAGGG